GGAGGTTTTGAGGAGCATGGAACTATCTCTTAATTGCTAGTGTTCTCAGGTCCACCCTCACCCGGGATGGCAGCACCTGTCTGGGTCCCAGCTATAGGCAAATACTTACCGACCTCCAAAAAAGTAGTCAAAACACTATGAAATTATTAAAATAAGTTTTACTACCAGCAATACATTTTTGGAAAAATATTATCAACAAAAAAAAAAAAATTCTCGGTATTAAATAACCCATTGAGGTTGATATACCGTAAAACAAATCAACCCAAACCAATCAATTCATAACTGACTAGGTAAATTTTCCGCATTAGACTGGTTGATAACCAAGGCTATAGGAGCCAGGCTTTATACCTGGGAGGAGAAGTGAAGAACTCTTACCTTTCCCGAGGATATTAGTGTGTAAGTGAATGTAACGAACTAGGCTATTATGCGAAATCAGTTCCTCGATTTATCTTTCCGAGTCGGTGTTCATTACACCATCCGCACATCCCAACACAAATCACTCAGTCTTCTTTCTCATATGCCGTGTCCGCTCGGGACGTAGGCAATCATAGCTCTCCACAATTTCTTGTCCTTTGTAGCTCATAATAAATTTTGTCTTTTTCTAATTTCTCCTACACTCTGTTCCGCCATCCATTTACTGATGCTCACTAAGTATGTAATGCGTTGTTCTCCTTCTGTCCCTTTTGCTCCTAATCTGTCCTGTGAGTATCAGATTTTCCAAGCCCTCTGTTCTCATTATGTGTCCTAGAAATGTCAGCTGTTTCTTCCTGATGTTTGGTATAAGTTTCCGTTTTGTTTCCATTTTCTGTAAAACTTCATTGTTACTCACAATATTCAGACCATAACATCCTCAGCATCCTTCTATAGAACCACATTTCTGTTATTTTAAGTCTCCTCTTCATCTTCGAGAAGATTGTCCAATATTCACTGCCATTTAGAAGGACTGATATCACGTAACGGTTCTGTACTTTTTCTTTTTTGTTTGTTTCTAAAGATATTTTCCTGAAACATAATACTCTGCTTTGCTTTTGGAAAGCATCTTTGGTTATCCCAATGCGTCTTCAGATTTCAGTATTGCACTTTCCGGCCACAGTTAAAATACTTCCCAGATATAAGAATCACAAGTAATGTAACTTAAAAGAGGGGGATAGCGGCTCGGATTGAGGAATCGGAGAGCCGAGTTCGAATTCCAGTCGAATCCATTACATTCACTTACGTTCTAATACCCTTGGGAAAGGTATGAATCCTTTTCTTCTAGCTCCACCTCCCCAAACCAGTTATGGGCAAATAGCAGAACAGATCACAGAATAAAATGGCAACCTACTGCGTGAAAAAAAATCTGCCTGTCATGTATCGAAATATACATGATCACATAAGTGTGTTCGGTTCGAAATTCCAATCACCTGACGAAGGCCGGTGCGTACTTAAAAGAAATATTGTCTTCTGCTTTTCTTAAAGTAGGAAATTAGTTCTTAGTTCTCTGAACGGATCAAAAACTGCGACAAAATGGCCGCCGAGTACCAACATAGAACGTATAGAATACATAAGTACTAGCTGGATATTGTTTCCTGATCTTTTTGTAACTGCGAATGTAGTTGTACTAATCTTGAAGAGATGTTATATGTCACCAACTCTCGATTTCACACCATAACACACTTGAGAGAAATTTAAATATTAAGCTTTAACAGAGGATAGAAATAGCAACACCGAAATCTGAAGGCGCATTACTATAGCGAAAAGTGCCTTCCAAAAACTAAGCAAAGAAAATGGTTGTTGAAAACAAAGAAAATAGTGCAGAACTGCTAACTTTTAATTGCTCTTCTTCCAAAGTCCACCCTGACTCAGGGTAGTAGTACCAGTTAGGGTCCCAGCTATAAGTAAATGGTGAAAGCCAAACAAAACACTATGAAAGTATAATGATACATTTTCTATAGTAAAAACAGCAACAATACATTTTATGTAAAAATAGCAACAATACCGAATTATAGTAAAATTAATAACAATACATTTTTATGTAAAAAAATTAGCAAGAATACCGATTTATAGTAAAATTAGTAACAATACATTTTTATGTAAAAAATAGCAACAATACCAATATATAGTAAAATTAGTAACAATACATTTTTAAATGAACATGACCAGCAATGCATTTTGTTTGAGGTTGAAATCCAGTTAATGCCATAAAATTGTTCAAATTATTTATATTTCAGCATTAAATAACCCATAGAGATGTTGATATGCCGCCAAAAGAAATCAACCAACTAAATATCAATCTTCTTGTATGACACTCAATGCTAGACAATCTCCTCACAGATGAAGAGATGACTCGGAGCAGCAGAAATTTGGTTCTCCGGAAGGATGCAGGGAATTCCACGGACGTAAGGAAAAGCAACAATGAAGTCTAAGAATGGTAACTAAAAGAACATTTATCATCAGAATCAGAAAGACGAGACAGCTGAAATTTCTTGGGCCCATAATGAAAAAGGAGATCTTGAGCCTCCCATGCATTATTTACATTATTCGGACTGTTATCCTCATCTTCATTGCCATATTCACAACGTTTCGTTCGTTGTATGCTCCGGGCTTCTTCAGTTGATTGGATCTCTGACATGAGGTTTTATAATTACTTGCATTATTTACATTATTCGAACTGTTAACCTCATCTCCATTGCCATATTCACAACGTTTTGGTAGTTGTACGCTCCGGCCTTCTTCGGGTGATTAGAATTTTGAACCGAACCCTTTATTTCGTCCTATGACGTCCGGCAATGAAGATGAGGATAACAGTCCGAATAATGTAAATAATACAAGTAATCATAATATCTCATCTCGGATATATAGACAGATATTGAACCTCCCATTTTGAATCGTAAAAATCATTTTTTTTTCAGGGAGAATATTGCATTAACATTCTTTTGAAGATAACAATGATTTTATATATAAGTTTTACTATTTAATCCATACCTGGGGATAGGGGATATGAATTCATACTTTTCCTAAGGGTATTTGCGCGTAAGTGAATACTTTTGTGTAAACCTTTCATGAAATAACTAGACCGCCATGCTGTTTATTTAACTTGTATATCTTTTCCACGAATTACTCCATTTTTTCTTCAGTTTAAATTTTTAGTTTAGACATTTTGGTTATATTTTTGTATCATATTTATTTTCTTATTAGATTTATTTATGTTCTGTTTCCGTCTCCTCTTCTTTCTTTTCTTTTATAATCGCTTTATTTTTAAATTATAATTTTTTATTTGTATTTTCCTGAAATTATATTTACAAGCGTTTCAAATTATCATGTGTCATGAGTAATATTATTTTGCAGATATCTCTCCATGCAGGCTATAATTTATTAAGCGTTACAGGTGCATTCGCAGTTAGATCGCAGATGAGTGCACAAGAGATAAAAGGTTGTCGCGTCTCTGGACTAAAATCTTGTTGTAAAGATGAGTAAGAAAGTTTTGTTTTGTTCTTTATTTATTTATTGTTCACAGTCAAATTAAATTTTCCAATTGGTCCTATCTCTCTCTCTCTCTCTCTCTCTCTATATCTATATATATATATATATATATATATATATATATATATATATATATTATTTATTTAAAATATGATTTCAAATCATGACACATAAGAAATCCCATGTTTCAAAACAAAGAGCCAAAAATTCAATATAATTATCTAAATTAAATTGAGTTAAAATAAGCTCTGTTCCATCTTCAAGCGAAATTTTTTTTGGTCCCAAAAAAAATTTATTTTAACTCAATTTAATTTAAATAATTATATTGAAGTTTTCGGCTCTTGTTTTGAAACATGGGACTTCTTATGTCGCGTTTGGAATCATATTTTTAAATAAATAATTATATTTATGCTCTACTTTTGTATCGAGCACTATTTTTTAAAAATAATAACTAAAATACTAAGGGACTTCGAATTATTTCCCTAACCAGTTCCTTCCTATTTTCTATATATTTTCACACACACACACACACACACACACACACACACACATATATATATATATATATATATATATATATATATATATATATATATATATATACAGTTATTTATTATGATTTTACATAGCGTCAAAACAACTTGCTCACTACAAAGAAGCATTCTTGTTTCGATGCGATTGCATCTCGACTGGTGAGAACCAAAAAAGTTTATGAACAATTCACTTTACAAGCAAGCCGCATATGTAAAATACCATAAGGAGAAACGCCTTAAGAGGAAACGGAGAAGGCTAAAGAAAAGAGAGAAAAGAGAAGGAAAGGAAAAAGGATGACAGAGTAAGACCATATTATTTGTTGATAGCAGTTTTGGGCGGTGAAGGAATGATGAGGCGTTAAGACAAGGGTCTGACCCTAAAAGTTTAAAACAAAGCGGAAGTGTCCGCTACAGCTTTTAATACCGTGCAACGGTCAGAAATCTAAGCAAAGTATACCAAAACTCCAAAGAGAAAAGAGGGAAAGATGGAAATAAAAAAGAGGAAAACAATGAAGGAGAAAGGAGAAACAAATATAGGGGAATAAAAAGTAATAACTGAACACGCTTTTTTACTGATGAAGAGTCGGGAATCTTAAAACAAAACCAAAGCTGAATTACGCAGATTTATGCTGAAGATTCTGTTATTTGTTCTGGAATAAACGTAGTATATAAATTAATAAATGGTCATTTAATTGGAAAATTTTTCGGTATGTTAAATACATAAGTTATTTGGGGTTTTTACAATAATTTTAGTTCAGAGTTTAAGGTATAAGTAAAAAAACATATAAAGTATGAGATGTTAATATAAAGTTTTTATAAACAAATTTTGACCTATTACCGAACTTTATAACTTGTAGAATAAGTATAGATATAAATCAATTTAAGTATAGATATAAATCAATTTATAAGTATAGATATAAATCAATTTACTGTTCTAGAATTATATATGTGCAGAAAAAATTTAGAATCATAATCTAAGATAGATCAGTAGAAAAATATATATACATACATATAGATAGATAGATAGATAGATAGATAGATAGATAGATATTGATAGGGTCACATATATATGTGCCGTGGTGGAATGGAACGTAATTCAACCACAATCTCGTTATATATAAAAGAGAGAGAATCTCTCTGATCTACAGCGTTCATCGAACGCTGTAGATCCAGAGACAAAATTACTTTTTGATTTATATTATCCGAAATATTTAATTTGTTTAATGTATAGAATTTATATATCATAATCTCAGATTGACAGATAATTTTAAGCAGTTGGATATAGATACAAAGATATATAATATATATGCAGATAAATCAGTTTGTAAAGAAACGTATTAATTTTTATTACTTTAAACGTTATTTTTAATGGATCCTCGTATTTCTCTATTTATTAAACAGTATATTTATTTATTTCGTCTACCGGCCTGAAAATTCGAGAAAAATTTTAGAGAAAAATATGCGCTCTACGGCAGGATTCGTCCCCTTAGCGTAAACCGTCCGACTAAATTGGATGATACAGCAGAGTCCAATGATCACATAGATACATCAAAATCTGGCAAACTCCAAAGCCATTTCAAATAGGCTCTTGTCTACGGGGTGCATCGATGACCAAGCAAATTTGAATGGTGGCTTGAAGAACAGTTTTTTCTCTAACATTTGAAATAGCCACACAAGAATCCCTCGATTAATGCGTTTTCGATTAGTGCGCTAAAATTTTTATTTACCAAAATTCGATTGCTAAAACACCCTTCAAGTTAACAGTTTAGTCCGGTGGAGTAATGGATAACGGCTTGGATTAATGAATGGCAGAGTCGAGTTCAAATTCAGTCGAATTCATTGCATTCATTTATGTGCTAATACCCTTGGGAAAGGTATGAATCCTTCTCTTCTCCCCCCCCCCAGCTATGGGTAAATAGCAGGACAGACCAGATTCTGTAGTCTTGGATGGAAACTGGTCTACCGCTGAAAGAAATGGCAACCTACTGCGGGAAAAAATTGCCTCGTTAGTCATGTATCGAAAGATACATGATCAAATAAGCGTGTATCACGCATGGCACGTAACTGATTGAATTGAAAATTGATTTTTTTTTATAGTTCCGGATTGATTAAAAATTTTCTAAAATTTAAAAATGGAAAATGGGTAACTATTTTGTTTGCCAAGTATTACGTTATCTAAGTAATTATTAGTGTAATAAATGGACAATAATAAATAAATAAATTTTACAACATAAGCCGATAATAAAAAAATATATATATTTGAATATTTGTCTCTATTAAATTTTTTAAATATTTTGATTTTTTCTTGTTTATTTTGAAGGTCTTAAAAGAAAATTTCTGATTTTTTGTTAAATAAAAATGAACGATTTAATTAGATACAAAAATTTACATTTGTTAAAATATTGAAGCATAAATGATGTTCGCGTTTACTATGGAAAGATTATAAAAAAAATTCAGGTTAAAATTCTAATGATTATATCTTTGGAAAATTTTATCAGGCAATTTCTCACTACTGCCAATTATATGAACAACAGAAGAATATGTTATGATTCAGAATTTTGATGATATGTCATCATTCTAAAAACAACTTTTCCACCAGTGATGATTGATTATAAGGATATTTCCTCATACTGGAAATAAAGATAAATATTTTATCATTATAAAAACGAACTTTCTACCACAAACATTAAATTAGCAGACGTAAAAAGGAACAACACAGACATATCTTCTTCGCTCCGTAAAATCCACAGTTAACGGTCTCAAACGCAACCCTTGATAACAAAATCCTCGGAAAAGTAAGCCCAACCTTTTAAAGAAACAAAAGAGACAATACCACTGGGAATATTTTTAACACACACAAACCAATATTGTAATTAACATTACGAAAAGAAAAATACACATTCTTGTGATTAATGTCAAATGTGTCTCAAATACTTATTGTTTATGTTATTGTTGTACGTTGTATTCATTTTGTTTTCAGTATAAAAAAATAGAGAAAAGGAATCATCTATCAACTACTAATACATGTAACAACGGGGCAACTTATATTAACACAACTCAACATTCCATCCTGTTAAAAATACCATGCGGCCAATCACTCTAAATAAGTGTTTCATAACAAAAATTCAGATTAACATTAATTCATAGCATTTTTATTGTATCTTCTTATATGTACCTATATTTTAATTAAAAAGTACTTAAATTAGAAATTAATTGTGAATGAGACTAAAATTTGAGGTACAAATTACATTATTTCCTATTAGTTATTATATTCGATTAATGGCTTTTCACTTAGTGCGTATCTTATAATGTACACATTAGTCGCACTAATCGAGGGATTACTTTATATGCACAGTTCTGTAGCCTTATGTAATCAAAGCACAATTGAATAGTACCTTTAAACACAGATTTTTCTCTGATCCTCGGGAGAGGTATATATCCAATTTGTAAAGAAAGGGATGGATATTTTTTATTTATTAATCCGACAGATTTGTATCGCTTAAACTTTATTTTTAGTGAATACTCGTATTTCAGTAGACGCTCCGTTTATTTATTAATATCATTTTATTATTATTATTATTATTATGCCTCTTGTTTCCTTGGGGTACACAGGGCCTCAACAACACTGCTGTGGCCTTGTTAGAGCCAGAAATAGACACCAGAGAGTGATTGAGTTAAACAAATATATTAACAGAAACAGTAATACAAACATATACAAACGAGAGTGTTGCAGCAAGAAAGTTCGGTCCGACTGTTAGAGCTGACTGCTAGGAAACTTCCCTCCTAAAAACCAGTACCTGCTCCTATTTATAGCTGGGAGAGTCCATGCGTGCATGGGTAAATTACCATAACAAACACCTCTCCTTATAAGCATAGAAATAAATACAATATGGGAACCAGTAATAAGGAGTGCCAGAGAAAAGCAATGATAACAAAGTTGCAATATGAACTCTGGTAAAGACATGCAATGATAACAGCAAAAATTGCAATATGAGCACTGGTAAAAAGGATTCTGAAAACATTAGGTTTATAATACTCAGAAGTTCATACCCAGATGAAGGACACATGGCACAGTGGATAAAGGCGTTGGTTAGATCCAGTGACAGACCCAAAGAAGGTGAGTTCAATTCCTAGTTAAGGCAGTGGAGAACTTTCAGAGGGAAAATTAGCAGGAGATAACTGACATCCATCAAACATGGCACGTGGAATTAGAACAGTCTACCCCAGCGATCGAAATAAAGGGTTCAGTTCGAAATTCCAACCACCTGAAGAAGGCCGGAGCGTACAACGGCCGAAACGTTGTGACAAATATGGCAACAAAGATGAGGACAATAGTCCGACTAATGTAAATACTGCTTTCCTTCTCCTCAATATAACTGTCACACCATCCGCAAACCCTGTTGAATAATGTTTAAATAATCGAACAAAGTTGGACAAAACGCCAATAAATTGGAGTTCTTTTTGTAATTATTTTATAATTAAATAATTAACTTAAAGAATTAGAATCAATTTCTCAAGGACACATGACCCAGTAGATAAAGACGTTGGTTAGATACACTGACTAGAACCAAACAGTTGTGAGTTCAATACCAGACCACAGCAGTGGTGAACCAAAACTTGGAGACCTGAACAACTTGGAGATTTGAGTTAAACGGAAATAACTGAGACATCAGGAACGAGATAAAGGGTTCGGTTCGAATTACAAATCGCCTGCAGAAGGCCGGAGCATACCACGTCCAAAACGTTATGAATAAGTCAATGAAGATGAGGATAACAGTCCAAGTAATGCAAATAATACAAGTAATCATAATACCTCATCTCAGAGATCCAATCACCTGAAGAAGGCCGGAGCGTACAACGGCTGAAACGTTGTGAATATGAGGATAAGGGTCCAAGTAATGTAAATAATGCAAGCAATCATAATACCTAATCTTAGAGATATAGACAGAACTAGAATCAAGTTTGTATGCTTATTTTTGAGTACTACTTATGCTAAACTATTAACTTCCGCTCGATTACACAGCCTGCGACAATGACTTTTGGACGTTACTGTTTAGTCAGAAAATCGCTTTTCTTCAATAAGGACATTTTCATTTTGCGGGCTTGTCTTTCATCATGTTTGCCGTCTTGAGACAAACCTGTGATCAAAGTAGCCGGACCAGTTTCAATCGTCAATGCAAGCTTTTCACTGTTTGAGCAACCATTACAGTTACTCACGCTTATTAGTCAGAGGCAGAAAGTGAATTATAGGGATTGACTAAATGTAGTTTAGGTGTGACACAAGGCCTGAGAGAGGTGGAAACCAATGAGGATCGAAGTCATTATTCAGCCATAATTCATCCTGCCGGTCAAGCTTGCTAACCATTATACAACGTCGAAGTACCCCAAAATGAGTTACTAAATGTAGCTTAGATGTGGCATAAGACCGGAAGTAGGGAGCACCCAGCACGTCGAAGAGTCAAAGAAATCTTTGCGGGTGGGGAGGTGCTTACAGTACGGGTGTTCCTAAACGGTCGCGCATCTAAGTACTGACCGGGCTCGATATTGCTATGACATCGGTGATCGACCTAGAGTGCAGAAAATGTATTAATATAGATTCACTAAAATTTGAACTCAGAAAATACGATGATCTCCAATAATATATATATATATATATATATATATATATATATATATATATTCAAAATTATAACATATTCATGTTATAACATCACTACAAAAATTGCAATTTTGTTTCAACACTAATGGTATCTTATCAAGTGACGGTGTTAATTACAAAATAAGGGGTTTTTAATAGTTCAAAGCCCAACCAAATCCCCTTAGTAGGGGAAACAATGTTACATAACCTATGATGACCAATCAGAATACAAGTATATAGTAATTCAAAATAACGTAACAACGTGCTCTAACTACAATCAATTAGTGCATTAAAGTTAAGATTAGATTAAATTAGAAATCAATATAACAATTAAAGTTTTAATTTCACAGTCAAAATTAAAAATTAAGTTAGAAACGTCAAATTCCGAATTTAACCGAGCATCAAGTTTAATTTTATTACAAAATTATTCAGAGAAAAACTGAAGGGTTTTGGTTGGTTTTTGAAAAGTTTAAACCGTTTATTTTGCAATCAACAATATCACTTGATAATACATCAGTAGTATTGAAATAAAATTGCAATTTCTGTAGCAATTTTATAACATGCATAAGTTATAATTTGGAATAAATATCATTTGTTCTACTTTTCATTGAGCACTCTTTTTAAGAATAGTGTCTTTGGTTATCGCTATTTTTTATTCCATCTGTACCAACCCCCTGTATCTGTATATATATATATATATATATATATATATATATATATATATATATATATATATATTATTAGTAGTAGTAGTAGTAGTAATCTCATAAGTATAAGAAATTATACTCGTTCGGAAAAACCTTCAGTGTTTTGATTTGCAAATAATCAAGCCAATATCAAAGCAGAAAAAAGTATAAAAAAAGAACCAAGAACATGTACGTTAGCCGAAAATAATCGTCTAGAATGCAAGT